TTTTTTTTTTTTTTTTTTTTTCCCCTACAGGGGGCCGGGGTCCCGGGCGCCGACCCCTGGAACCCCGGAACCCCGGCGGGGTCCCGGGGCCGGGGTTCGACAACCCTGATGACAATCCTAAGTTGTACAAGATGCCAACTTTCCAACTGGACAAGTTCGACGACTACACGCAGCAGGATCCGGTCCTCTGGTGGGAAGCATTCACGACGCAACTTCGGATTCTGCCTGTCGCTAAGCATGCGTACATCGGCGCCCTGTTCATGAACTCAAAGGGTGGATGCCAGACCTAGTTGACCCACCTGGCAACCTCTCACGGCGTCGACGTACCAGACTTGAAGGACAAGATCACATGGGAGGAACTGACACGGCTGTGGAAGAAATGGTTCATCGTCGACGACGCCCCGACACTCGCCATCAACCGTCTTTTCACCATGTCTCAAGGCAACACAGCAACACGTGACAGGCTCACGGAATGGCAGAAGATCGCGGCAGTGCCCGATCTGGACTTACCATTCACGCATCTACGCCGTGAGTTCTATAACAGGTCATGCGCTGCGCTGAGCTAGGCACTTGGTGATCTCTTTCGCTGAGATCATTGACAAGGCGAGAGAGATCATAAACACCAATAGGGCGGCTGCACACGAGAAGTCCACGTGGCAGCCAACCTATGTGGAGAAGGTAAGAACTGGTCCGCGACAACAGCAGCTCGCTGCAGTCCAATCGGACAATGGAGAAGACCCAGCAACCACTCCAGCATCATGTGAGGGAGATCAGGTGGCTGCTGTCCAGCTGCGAAGCAACAACAAGTCCCGGAACAATGGGAAGGCGAAACCAGCATCGCAGGCCGGAAATGGACAGCCAGCACCACCATGGGTCAAGTTCGGCTTGACCGAGCCCGAGTACAAGTACCGCGGCCGTTACGGCTGCCGCTACTGGTGCAACAACACCAAGCACAAGACCTCTCTTTGCAGGATCAGGCCAAGAAGGATGTGCGGCCTCGGCTCAACTCGGGAAACTGAGTTTCGCGGGAGGTGAGGCGACTCCACCCCTCACTCCGCCAGATTCGTCCGCCTTGCTAGCGGCCTCCTACACATTTGGGGAGGATGCGAATGTCGCAAGTCCTCGGTACACTTACGAGGATTATGCTGTCCACTTGGTCCCACCGCTGGACCAACCGCTCCACATGCAGCACTCTACCGCATGCACGGTTTCATCACCATCGGCAACCGATTCGGCAGCTTCGTCGTCATCTACCGCTAGGGATTCAACGTCATGGTCAAGTCTTGAAGAACTCGACCCATTGACTTTTGAGGACTTCCAAAGGATGCCCCTGCCCCGGTCCGGTCGATTGCCGAAACCGCATTGCAACGTGCTCAAAGCACAATTGCGGGATTACTTGCACATTGCAGTACCGACTCCGTTGATGGACGCCGGAGTAGAGGTTGTCGACCTTCACGCCTACATTGCGAAGATCGACCGCGAGTTCAAGACGCAACGGTACGATGACATCGACGCACCATTGCTATATGTACGCATTCATATCGGAGAGGCGATCTGCAGTGCTTTGATCGATTGCGGAGTGCGGATAAGGCAAAAGAGGAAACACCCCCAGACTGCCACAATCCCCCGGTTAGCGTGGAGCAGACTAAGGAATCACACCTCATAGACCTGCAATTGCACACGGTAGAAGGGGGTCAGCTTGCGCAGACCGAGGAAGCCACACAGCCCGAAAGGCAACAGTGTCCCGCGACCGCTGAACAGAGAGGTCTGCCAGACCTGCCGAGCCACCACGCACAGATCC